GTACAAGAGGCAACCACACACTGATGTTTCTCTCCCTCTCTTCCTCCCTCCCTTCCCCTCTCTCTATAAATAAATTTTTAAAAAAAAGAAAGAAATGTGGGACCTGTCACTAGGGAGGGACAGTTAACCTGTTCATAAACAGAATACCAGTAATAATAATGCTCCCTATTTCCACTGTATCTGTGGAAGCTTTTACTAGAAACTCATCAGTTCTTACAGAGGCTCGGGGAGGAGTGCATCGAGGGGGAGCATCTGGATTGATGAATGGGAAGTCAGCCAGTGAAGTTACATTTGCTTGGTGGGTGCGAGCAGGATGGGGGCGGAGAGGAGCAAGCGGCAAGAGAGACACGGGACACAGCGCCTGTGCTTCCAGTCTGTCAGGACTGTGCCCCACCTGGGCATGCCTGGACTTCCGTCCCTGCCGTGTGTGAAGGTCTGATACCCCGGAAGCCCCCGTATGTGAGAAAAAGTTTTTTCCTGCAAGAACATCCACAATGAGTGTAACCCATGCAGGAGTTACCAAATCAAGCGGCAAAAAAGGCCCCTTCTCCCTGTGCCTCCCAGCAGAGTGCAGGCAGCCCCCACAGCTCCACAAGGAAGGCCTCCCGGCCCCAGCGGCCAGACAGGGCCTAGGCCAGGAAATGGCAGGCTGAGACCCACCCAAAGGAAACGCCAGTCGCACATATGCCACTTGAGGCCTTCCTCTTTAACTCTTACAAATGACGCTAAGTCAACCAGAAGTAGAAAACCTTAAAGATCAAACAAGTCCTTCATTTTATCCAAATCGTGATTTCAATCCCAGAGGCCGACTCCTGGAACACACAGCATGGCTCCCTGAGCCGGGAGGGAAGGAGCAGGAGAACCAACGCCTTCCTCCCTTCTGGCTTCTGCGACCTTTGACCTTACATCGGTAGTTCCAGGAACCACAGTCCCTCCAATAAGTCTGACTACCTGGACGCTGGCTTCATTATGAAATTAAAGTGGTGGGGAGTCAGAGGCCAACCAAAATATAGAAATATATTTTGGAGCTTCCCAAATATATTTCAAGACAAGTCCCTCAGGGCTTAATTTTCCCTCTCAGCCCAGGCCTGGCTCTCAGCCCAACCCTGCACTGGTTCTTGGGGGTCAAGGCTCTGTCTGGTTCCCTCTGCTGGTTGCTGGGCTGCTCAGCTCCCACTTCAGAACCTTTTGGGTTGCAACCTTTTGTCACTCACTCAAGGGACCCTGGACCAGAGGGCAGCCCCCGCATTCTTGGGCCAACACTCATGTCCTCTACTCACTGTGTCTCAGTAACGAACAGCCAGTTCACCATGTCACCCGCCTACACTGAGCTGTCGCTATAAAGATGACTTCGACGAGATTATTGAGTCGGAAGCAACACTATTCCGTTAAATTCCATGCGCATGCTAAAAGTGCTCATCAAAATCCAAAAAGTTCTTATCCATGCATGTATTTTTCACAACATGAACAAAGATGTTGCAGTGACCAGCACGTCCCACAGCAAAATCGCTCTACAAGCCACCAACAGCTTGAGCCACAGCTCTTTGTGATGCCTATATCACAGCACCCAACAGTTTGTAGGGAGACGGAGGGAAGGGAGGTCTTCCAATTTACCGCCGTCGGTCACCATGGCTGCTGACGGAGTACGCTGAACTCACTGGGGTCCTTAGTCCTGTGACCCAAAAAAGCTCTCACCCAAATGGCTCTTTCTAAGCATCAAAGTAACGAGAGGGTGACCCAAGGCCACCCTACACACATTCCTGCCTGTTCTAGGTCCTACCTGCTGCCCTGCAGTCTTTGTCGGGCGAGGCCACATCCTGGGTGACAACCAGGCCCTTTGCCACTTTTTCTACCCCGAGCTGTGCCAGACACACTCAGGAAGCCTTAGAGAAGAGGCAGATGGGGAGGGAGAGAAAGTCAATAGGGAAGACGTCTGTCACGTAATGCTAAGCACCGAACTTCCTGAGACCAGCCATGGAAATACCTCCTGGCCAAGCACTTCAGAATAAACAACTACTTGAAAGAGAAAATTATAATTTTTCACTTGATTACCAGGCTACAGTCAGATTAGGTTGCGGTGGAACCAGATTCTTTAAGATATGTGTCATTCATTCATTCAGTCGATACTTGAGCGGTGCCCAATACCTGCAAAGCGCTGAGCGAGGCCTGGTAGGTACACACTTTATAACCTCGTCTAGGCCACGTCAGCTGGAAAAGTCGGTCGTGTTGCTCCCCTATATCCCACTCTCCCTTTTCGGTACAAGAAATATTCACCTGTGGCTCAGTGGGGTCACAGGACTAGTCCTGGCCGAAGCAGTGTTAAGTCCCTTCTGGGTCAGATCATGTCAAGGTTAAAACAAGACCTCGGGTTCCTTTCCAATGCTGCAGCGATCCTGCAAGCGCACTCGAGACCACAGGTCCATCAGTTCGGGTCCTTGAGTGGCCACAATGAGCAGGGACCACCTGCTGCCCACGCTGGACACACAGCACGGGCAAGAATCTGCACTCAGCCACTGAGATTGGGCGGTCGTGAACTACCGCAGAACAACCTAACCGACCTTGCTGATACATTACTGTTTAAAAAAGAGAAACCTGCAAAGTTCCCCCCCATTTGTTTTCTAAATCACATTATACAGAAAAGCAGAATTTGTTTCAAAATTTAAGTGCAGTAGGGACTGAATAAAACCTTGGAATGTGTGCCCTGACCGGTGTGGCTCCGTGGGTGTTGGCTCAGTGGGTCGAGCGTCATCATCGCACCAAGAGAAAGGTCAAAGGTTAGATTCCTGGTCAGAGCACGTGCCTGGGCTGCAGGCTGGTCCCTGGCTGGGGCACAGAGGAGAGCAATTGACTGATGTTTCTCTCTCATATTGACATTTTTCTCCCTCCCTTCCCCTTTCTCCAAATATAAATAAATAAAATCTTAAAAAAAAAAACGCTTGAAATGCAGAGGATGCCAACAGAAAGACAACTCTGAAGGAGTAAGGAATGAAAACAGAATGACCTTTCAACAACGGTGATATCCAACCATTCGTGAAATTCAGCAGAAGAGTTTAAAGGCTAGAAAGAAAAGGTCACCTTCTAACAACAGGTCCAGTCATTTACAAAGTAGTGAGCTCCTCAGTGAAAGAGGCATTCAAGCAAAGGCTGAATGGTCACATGCTCCCTCCTCACAAGTCTAATACTACTCTGTTACTCTTTCTAGCTTCCAGGGAACTTAATTAGAATCAGGTCCTCATTTCTCCATTGCCCTGTAAGCTCCCTGAAGGTGGGTCGTTGGTACCTCTCCTCACCCCACCTCAACCCCCTGGCGCTTATCCCAAAGCCCATTATCCATCAGGTGCTTGATAAACATCTGTAGAATGAATTAAATGAACATTGTAGAGAGAGCTCTGTTGGAAAAACGTTCGAATAACCTCTAGGGCTGCCCCAACCTAGAGCTAAATACACTATTGCAGACATCTGGGGGTGGGGGTGCCACCACCTACAAAAAAACAAAATTGAACATCAATATAATACTTGATTATGATTTATTACCATACACAATTAAAAACCACAGTGAAACCTAACACTGCACTATGGCTATCTTTGTTCCTGGACAAGCATTTACATGTGCAGGCAGCTGTTTTCCCAAGTGGAATTGTGTGAGGTTATTTTTTTTTTCTACCTAAAAAAAAAAAAAAAAAAACCACCACACCCTTTGTTTCTATTGCATTGTTACACTCCCTCTTACCCCATCACGTGGTTTTTCTTCTAGCAGGAACACAGCACACACCCTGCATTATTGCTGACATAAAAATTACTTGTCAAAATACCTCTATCCTAACACCATTACAAATCGGATCTTTGTAAAGCCTTGGCCTTTGTTTTGGCTGGAACCAGATAGCTCACCTACTTATCCCGGTGCTTCCTGCATGCTTAGAGTGCAAGGGTGAATGCCAGTGTCATTTATATTTTTTAAAGTCATCTTTCAAAACAAAACTACCCTGGAGGTGAGTGACAAATCTTTCAAGTTATTTTATTTTATTTTTCTAAGGGACTTGGAGGGTGGGGACCGGTGAGGAGAGAGGCTGCCACTGGTAACCTGCTGGGGCTACTGCTGCAGAGCAGGCTACAGCACCCGTAACCAGCAGCCTTTGGTCCTCAGCAATCCCTCCTTCCTCCAAAACAAACCCCGAGTCCATTCCCATAGCCGTTCCTATCCTCTGCTACTTGTGCAGGGCGCCAGGACTCTGCCCTCTAGGAGACAATGCCAAGGCCAAGGTGTCCTCTTACGTCTGAAGGTTACGTTTTCATTGAGCTCTATCAAGATAACCCCAGATCTGGTTAAACTGACATCAAAACAGAACTATCCTTGGAAAGAAAAGAACAGGCCAGAGTTTCTGGAAAAGGACCAACAACCTAAAGATAAAATGCAGACTGAGAGCCTAATGGTTCACGGCTTTATAAATGGAAACTTAACTAACGCTCTGTTTCTGTTCTTTCTGCTCCCCTAACAGCCCTCCCTTCCACCTCCCACTAACTTATCGCTGACACATTGGTACTGCAAACACTATCACAAGGAAGGGATGGGGGAGAGACATTATTTCATAAGAAAGTCACTATATTTGACCTGTGCCCCATTTGAGCGCTGGTCAAATTTATAATCAGCCATACTATGATACCTTTTCCACAAACGCTATCCCACTGAAGCTAAAATATGTTACTACAGATAAGAAAGCAGGTATATATCCAAATCCCATGTTCAGATACAACTGCCTATTCTCATCATAGGAAACCAGGCGGAATGCACACAGCCCCACACGCTCCCTGCCTGCCCTCGATGCCTTCCTCAGAAGGAAGATTTCAAGTCGTCCGCGATTGCTCTCCAGCAGCCCCACTCCTCCCCGCAGAGGGCAGCGGAATGGTGCGATGCAGAACCCACTCCAACGGCCCCGCGTGAACACCGTTGGCCCAAATGACCCAGAGACACCCAGGCGGCTACCCAGATTATTGGGGGTTACCTGAATCTGTCATCGAGTGCCTTTCACCCTCTTCTGCGTGATGACATCAAGTGGAAATGGTATGCGTTTGGGAGGCAAGAGGCTGACAAGCAGGAAGCACAATCGAGTCTGAGCTGTGTTCAGCCTGCAGTGAAACACATGCAGTAAGGGTTAGATACGCGCAGCAGAGAAAGACATCCGAGCATCCTCCCGGCCAGCGGCGGTGGAGCCGGTGCACTGAGCGGGTGGGGGGAGGTGGCGGAGGTGTGGAGGGCTGGCGGGCCGCGGAGGGGGCGGAACGCTTCCTAATTGTCTCTACCGGAGACACAACCACCTCCCGCCACTCCTCTGCAGTCTCCCCCGCCCCCAAGTTCTCCTCTGGTGGTAGCGCTTTTGCTAGCAACTGTAATCCCTCAAGGAAGAAATACGAAAGAAATACAAGAAAGCGGAGAATAACATCTTGGGGCAAATACACACTGGCAAAATATACCAGGTACGCCTGGTTAGGTGGGAATGCGGGGCGCCCAGTCCCCCGGCCAGACAGTCACACCAGCGCTGCATTCGTTAGCATCCTTCTTTCCTTCACGCCGTCTGCCACCTCATTAAGTCACTGTCACTGTTTTGTCGATTTCTCTACTCTTCCCAAAACCATGCCGCGCTCCCCGCTCCCACCCCCTCCCCACCCTAGGTGGGACGCGGGGGGGGGGGGGGGCACTGCTTATCGAGCGGCGTCCCACTGGTCCAGCCTGCTTTGTCCTGCTGCTGCCCTTCCAGGAGCCAGAGCCCCAGGCGCGTGGGTCCGCGCAAAGCACCCCCCGCCCCTAATCTGGCACGCCACTGCGCCCTCCTCCCAGGAAGGGCCACGGGGCCACAGAGGGGCGCGCAAGGGCAACTTCTGCGGGTGGGGAAGGCACTCAACAAGGGGCTAGCGAGAGGACCTACTCCAGTGTGTGCGGGGTGGGGGCGCAGCTGGGACGCGCGTGCATGCACGTGCTCCCCTAGGGGCGCGCGCGCGCGGCGCGGGCAAGAGACAGCTCCTTCGGACCGGAGCTCCAGGGGGCATCCGAGGACTCAGCAGGGCCGCCAACAGCGCGGTTCCCCACCATAAACCCACCCCCTTCCTTCCCCAGCTCCCTCCGACAACCCAACTCCACTAGCGCACCGGACAAACGCAACTCCAGGGACCACCTCCCCTCGCCCCTCACCCTGCGCTCCCCTCCCTGAAACCCCTGAGGCCCTGCCACCCCCCATCCACTGGCCAAAAGATACCACCAACACACCAGGTGGCGGCTCCCCGCCTTCTGCTTCCCTGCTCCGGGTGCAGCCGCCTTGGGGGCGCTGACATTCCAGGGAGCCCCCGACTCAGGAGGGGCAGAGCAAAGAAACAAACCGAAACTCACCGACCTCTCTCGGCGGCAGGCTCGGGCGCTCCCTACAGAAGGGGTGGCGGCGACAGTATCGCCGGGTGGTCCCGCCACGCCCGCCAGCCACCAGTTCGGCCAGAGGTGCGTGCGGCGCGGTGCGGACAAGAGCTGGGAGCGCGGTGACCGCGTCTGCAGCCCCAGCTCCCTGCCCCGCCCTTGGGGAGGCGCCCCACCTGCCCTGCCACCCTCGCGCTCCCTTCGGACACTGCCCGCAGCAGGCAGCGAGCGGGAGCTTTTTGTGTCACCGCCCAGACTGAGGCACCGAGGGGGGTGGGGGCGGGAGGCAGGGCCCTGCTCCCCACGGCACCGCCCTTCCCCGGTGGCTCCACCTCCTCCAGCTAACAACCCCCACCCCCCCCACTAGTCCGGGACGTCCGTTTGTCTGTCTGGAATCGCAGACCACCTCCACCCCCCCTCCTCCCGTGAGGAGCAGCCCACCCTCCCTCGTGCCCTCCCTCGGCTTTGCCCCGAAGGGCCCAACCTCAGCGGGGACCTCGACGTAGTCTTTTCTGCGCACAGGTGGGACCTGAGCTGAAATCAGGTGTGAAAAGAGGCCGAACTCAGCCGGCTGAAAGGCGGGGCGGAGGGGACCGAGGCCGGCAGGAACCAGTCTGCAGCTCCCGACCAGGGGACGAGCGAGGGAGGAGTTGGGATCGTCTCCATTCCAGAAACTGCCTGGGCGCACGTCACCGAGGCTACTTGTTGGCTGACCCTTAAAGTTCATGTAGTCCAGCCAGGGCGAGTCCTGTTTTCGTGGACTGGAGGCCCGATGCATCCCCTGCCCTTTGGTTCCCTTGGGTGGGGTACGGGGAGCAGGGAGGTCAAGTCCTGAGGGTCCTGTGATAGCAGGGACCACCGAACCCCTGGCCCACCCTAACGTTCACCATAAAACCAAACTCCTACGGTAGGGACGTGCTTAGATATCTAGTTTTCCTCAAGAAAATCCAAAGGCATGGTCTCTTCCCTCTGGCATTAATTGTAAAATAGGAGAATGGAGCAGAGAGGTCGCGGGTAGAAGATGGTTTCCATGTTCTGCGGTCCTTTGAAAGGATTTCTGTGTAGAATGAAGACCCAGCACTTTAAAATGGGACAGTTAAGCCGGCCAGCTTCCCTGGCCTGCAGCGCCAGGTTCAGCAGAGTGGCCCTTCAGCCACCCATCCAAGCCCCTTTCGGGCTGCCTGTCTCCAGGTCCTCGGGTCCGGCCTGAAAGGAAAGAACTGCCATTCTAACCTCTCCCCGCGGCTCGCTGAAGCGCTTCTGCCAAGAGGATGAAAAGGAAACCCTGCGAACCAAAAGGGGCTCTGACCTACTGACATTCCTAACGTGCTCGGCTCAGCTGACCGTCCCGGTCCTGTCCCTCGAATAAAACCTGTTAGTACTGTTTCCAGACACGTCCAGAAACCAGTCGGCGAGAGCCAGAGGAAGCTTGATGACTGTCCGTCCTCTCTAGGACCCCAGCTACACAGTTCGCCTGGCTGATCCGTGTGCCTGTGTTCCCTGAAGTTACAGCTTCTACTGTACACCTGGCAGGAGTGAAAGTTTTATGTGTGTTCTGAAAGCCTAAGGGGTCTTGGCATGAAGGCTTCAAGAGTATTTTCAACGTCCACTTTGGGCAGAAAAAACCTTTTTTTTTTTTTTCCCAATGAGAGTATTGAAAACTCTGATGTTGGCTGGGAGCTTGGACGAGGATGCTGAGTTACAACAACCCAAGATTTTACTGGGAAAATTTAGCCCAGAAATACTATGGTTATACAAGAGGGACTTCAAAGATTCATTTTAAGAAGCTAATTTCAGGGATCAGTAATGATTTCAAAATGTTTAAACTTTTTTCAGCCGTTTTCAGAGCCCTTTAGGATTCACGCATTCGGCACGGTGCGGGGTAAACGTCCCATCCTGGGGAATCGATTCCCAGTGGCTGGTGTTTTAATTCACATAGCATCATGGGTGTTCTGCCTTCTGTCCAGTCTTGTCAAGCTGTCACACAGAGAAGGTTAATTAACTGGGGCAGACTGGGATAAGCCAGTTCTCAAGGCTAGCTGGGGGCCAGCGCCAAGCAGGCAGCAACCGTCTGAGGCAGGGGAGGAACAGGCAACAACATGTCGGTGGAAACAGATTCTGAAGTGAGACAGTTCCAGGAACAAGGCAACTGCGACCAGGCAGTGTTCGGAGCTGCAAGCTCAAAGCTTCCAGAAACCCACTCCAGACTGAGGCTCCGCCTATGCCTGGGGGTGAGATAGGATCAAGGCAGTGTTCCAAGTCTTGATAAAGCAGAGTATCAGGGTGGCGCCCAGCATTGGGGAACAAGATAAGGGACAGACAGATATTCATGAATTCATTCAACAAATATTCCTTGAGTTCAGACTGTCCTGAGAACCGGGCCCCAGGGTTAGGATAGAGAAGAAAATAGACCCAAATTCCTGCCCTCACAGAATTGATAGTCTAATGGAGGAAGCAGAGAATACACAGTATCATAAATAAGTAAAATACATTGTGTCGAAGGGTGAAAAAGACAAGGGGGTTATGAAGTCTTCATTGCAAGAGGACAGACATTTTAGCTCCACGGTCAAGGACATGACTTTAGAGCAGAAAGCGGAAGGAGGGGTGGGAACAAGCCATGCCAGTCAATAGAGAAGACTTCCTTTTAACAGGGTACAGTGGGGTGTGAAGAGGCAGACCCCAGAGATATCATGGGTTTGATTCCAGACCACCACAAAGGAACAAGGTGTCCTCTTTTTCTGGTGAGGGACTTGCCTTCAGATTGTAAAAGCGCAATATCTGCGAAGCACAATAAAAACCATGCGCAATAAAATGGGGTATGTTGATATTTCTCCAAGGGCAAAGGTCAAGATACTGGAACTGGGTCTGTCAGATAGTGGTCAGTCAGACCAATAATATTGATTCATGCTTAGTCACCTGAGGTGGAATTAAAGCTGCTTAAATCAAGACAGGGCTGAGTTCTTATCTCTGTACCCTCAGCAGAGAGCACAGGTACCCGATAAATGTTTATTGTGCTGAGGCCTTAAATCTTCCAGGACCTGGATGGGGCTGAGATAAAGATGACCCCATAATACCCAAGACAGCCCTTCAATTGGGGGTGACTCTTCCATAAAAAAGAAAAAAAGTCTACATCTCTTCCGTGGCTTTTCCTGTCTTTCTGATCCAGGCAGGAATCAGCTTTCTGGTTCTACCTAACGCACTAGGGGGGAGGGAGAGAACCGAGCGATGGGGAGGAGGGGGGAGGAGGAGGGAGGAGGGTCAGGAGCCAGGACTGGGAAGCAAACCCCGCTCCCTGCTGTCTGCCCAAAATATCTAAATCTCGCCCAGTATGAGGCTGAGTTTCTGTGTAACATGTCTGAGGTTTTACACATTAAAATTGCCTCTTGAAACTGAATTATAGTGATAGTTGCACATATAAAAGAAGTGGATTTTATGGTACATAAATTATACCTCAAAAATTTGTTTAAAAACATTGAAGCAGGCACCCATGTTTACTCCGTTTTGGGGGTGTTTGGTTTTTTTTTTTTTGGTTAACGTTTAGACCACTTTCCTGTGCCCTCCATGATTAGACAAAGGGGCACATATCTAACCAATTACATTATCGTCCTAATAGATGTTTAACCCAATTGATTTGCATGAAATCAAAGGGTATATTTTGGTCTCTGCCCTCTGGCTCCTGACATGGAGCTCCTAAATCCCTTGGAATTTCCTCAGTGACAGGAGCCTTTTTGTTGTTCTGAGGAGGTGACTCTGGGTGGGCTGCTGGATGAGGGCCGTCACCAGAAAGACCAACCGATGACAAGCAGCGTGGGATTTGCAGCCCCACCCCCATTGTCCAGAGAGGGGAGGAGGCTGGGATGCAGTTAATGATCCATCGTGCCTACGTGACAAAGCCTCCCTAAAAATCCCGAAAGTGTGGGGTCCAGAGACCTTCCGGGCTGGTGAACACGTGGAAGTGGGGGGAGAAGGGTGTGGTCAGAGCCCGGGGAAGCTCCGTGGCCCGGCCCACGCACCCGGCCCCGCACAGCTCGTCCATCTGGATGCTCGTCTGTATCCTTTCTCATAACCTTTGTAATAAACTGCTAAGCGGTAAGTAAACGGAGTTCTGGAGTTCTGTGAGCCACCCTAGCAAATTAATCAAACGCAAGGAGGGCGCCGTGGGAACCTCCTATTTATAGCCCATCCGTCAGAAGCACAGGTGACAATCTGGACTCGGGATTGGTGTCTTGTGGTGGGGAGCAGCCTTGTAAGACTGAGCCCTGAACCTGTGGGATCTGCCACTATGTCCAGGTAAATGAGTTCAATTGCAGGCCCCCCAGCTGGTGTTGCAGAGAATCACTTGGGGGGGGGGCCGTTGGGGCGGGGAGGGCAGAAATCCACACATTTGTTGACCACGAGTCTCAGAAGGGAAGTGTTTTTATGTGAAAGTGAAGAAGAAAAATGTGGGAGGAAGAGTGAATTTCTCTTACTCAATTTGAAAATTATTTTTTCCTTTATGGGATATTTGCTACCTTAAAGTATATGTAGTCTAATTCAAAATCTAAAAGAAAGTTTTCAAGAACATAGAGTCTAAGATAGATTACTAATAATGACTGCTAAATATGGTACACATTTCAAAACTGGCTTTTATTTGGGGGCCCACTTAAATCAATCCCATCGGACTAATTAATTACTCTGATAAGGTGTTCTAAGTGAGGGAGGTAGTGTACACAACACAGAGTCTAGAACCAGGTACTATATAAGGACAACTCAACCTCATCTGAATAAACTACAGGAATATTCAGGAAACCCCAAAGGATTTTCTCAGGAGCTATGTTCAGATTGCGTTTCTACGAGGGGTGAAGGGCTGAACGAAGACATCTCTCTTTTTCTTTAACCTCATCTTTGATGTGTACAACAGGCATTTCAAAACAGCTGGTTACAATTATGTGACCATATTCATGAGGGATAGTCAACATATTTGACAGGCTGTAGTCACAGGTATCCACCGATCCGTTTGGATGATGGCCGTGAACTAAATGGCCATTTTGGTGTGTCCTGGCCGAATGTCAACTTAGACTTGTCCATCCCCTGGACACCCTCCTTCACAGC